TATAATTATATATATATATATAGTGGTATAGAGGTAGGTAGATGATTATTGTATATATAGTATAGTATAGTAGTATAAAGGAGTAATACAGTGGAGGTAATGTATGTAAATTATGTTTTTAAAATTATCTTAAAAAAATTAATTTATAATAATTTAAAATTTAATGTGAATCTTAGAGATTGTAAGTAGTAGTGAAAGAAATGTTTTTAAAGCAACTGCTTTAATATGAAGAACATAGAGGGGTAAATGTGAATTAAAATGTGGCTACAATAATATTTAGATAATAATTTTTAATCTGTTGAGATTAAAAACACAATTTAATTAAATTGAAGATGATTGTGGGCTTAAGATATCTGCTGCGCTACGGGCAGGCCTGGTATTACCCCGAGCGACTGTATCGTTTAATACAGAAAGACACCATCACACGTCGCCTCGATCCTGGAGGGGAAACCCCGCTAATCGTGGGAAAAAAACCCACATCAGGCAGAGCTGTGTCCTAATACAAGGAAACTGCTAACATAAAAAGTAACGGGTCATCTGGGATGCGTATCATCAGCTCGGTCCCATTGCTGCAAAGGGTGGTTTCTTGCTTAAAACCGCCTCTGCCACTACGGATGAAAGTACAGTTCCCATATCAAACATCATAAAAAGTAACATTTTTACAAAAACATTAATGTTATTTCTAAAACATATTAATCTTAACACTCCTATAGAAATAGTTTCTTATTTGACCCGTATCTACATATTTAAATAGCAAATGGTGTATTTATTTTACTTTTAAAAAAAAAATCAGCAGTGCTTCTTAAAATATGTGAATGAGAGAGTTTTTAATATTGGAGGCAATTATTCATTCGCGGCTACAATATTCGACGATTTATATAGTAGCTGGTTTGCTTTTTGGAAATGCAGGAGTAACTGCGGGATTCTGAAATCTAGATGATTAAAGATGTACAAAATAGTTGTTAATATTCGGGGAACCCCTTTTTAGCATCTTAAATAAAAAGACAAAGCTTGATACAAATCGGCCTATCCTTTAGTGTTAATATTTTTGTGCTGTTGGGTAAACTCAGAATTCATTCGTATTTTTTTATGTTTATAAATAAACGAAACAGAATTTGACCCTCTGTAGAGTTGAGGCGGACGTGAATCTTTAATTGTTATACACAATATCCCCGTAGTCGAAATGAGGACATAACCAGGGTTTTTACCACATTTCTTTTCTTATTAGTAGGAGAATTATCGATATATCTAAGGATTGCAAAGAAGCGGTAAATAAAATTTCCGACAAGACATTCGATCTGATCATTTCCCAACTAGATTGATCATCAATATTTTTAAGCCCAAGTTTTGACTTGGTTGTATGCACGAGTACCTACCAACATTGAATCTATAAGCACATCGAACATATGAAACCTTCAAGTTTCTTATGCTATATTTGAGAAGAAAGCAATATGATGTTTGTGATTTGTAGGATTTAAATAGTCCGTTTCTCAAAAAAAATTGACCATTTGACTACAGAGGAGAGTTCATTATTTTAATTATTTTATTAAGGCATTCTACCTCCCTGATGTTTTCCGGGATATAAATTTGCAGTCATGCCGCGTCGCTACATATGAGACTACATTCCGTAATTCGTCTTCTATTAGCATTCATGTAAATAAGAAAGAACAGTAGCGCCCTAACACGGAAGCCACCTGATTACCCTCAGTAGAGGTTTTGGATTCGAGTTGCAGATCGTCAAACTACTACAAATTTGTTCCTTATCTTATAGATAACTTGCCATACCAAGAGATGTGGAATCAGAAAAAACCATAGATTTGCACTCCCTATTAAAGATATCATAATCATACAGAGTCAAATGCTTACTAAAATCTAAAAGATTAATTACATCGAGCCATCATTCTAGCGCTTTTCGTATGTCTTCAGTACTTTCAATAAAGCGAGTTGTGTGCTGTCTACCTCCTCTAAAGCCGGATTAATAAGTTATCGATCAGATCTGGTCTAATACGTGTTTTCAATCTTTTTTCGACAATTTTTTCCAGAACTTTAGACACTGTCGGCATATATCGCTAAATGGCGATAATTGCATGACGCCGAGGTCAGTTCAGATTTTGGCGGGCGAACATGGCGCAAGCTTCCACGCTTGAGAAAGGTTCCCGTTTGTTAATGCAGAAATTAATAAATGCAGTGAGTGCCGAAAGCAAATGTAAAAGAAATTTTCAAATTGTTGCTGTATACCATCGAGCCATTATGCATTTGATTTATGAAAGAACAATACTTACTAACTTCTTGATGCATCAAACGTTATGGGAAATAAAATTATCCCTGATACAGGTGAGTTGATTGAAGTCTCTTAATGTATTCACGCTGAAGAAGTATTATTTTTTGAACATTTACAACGATGTAGTCATTAAATCATTCAAGGCATATCGATAGAAATTTCCGAAGAATTGCCTTCGCGATTCCGAGGTTCTCTCCAGTTTGTTCCAAAACTCTTTTGTTTTTGTATTTACTTTAAAGACATCATTAAAATCGAATTTTTTCTTTTATTGTTATGTTTACTGAATTTTCGGAACTTTTATGTACTCTCTTTCATTTCAGAAGGTTTCATTACAATTTAACTGATGGTAAGCTGGATGTCGCGTTCCGCATGAATGCTTTTGTAATGTATTTAAGCCATGGGCCGCGACGTGTCACACGTCGCGTTTTCCATGGTGCCATGTTTATGAAAAGGTCTGATATAATCTTCGTTGAAGACCTTCTCTTTACTATTAAGTCATTGTTTGACTATAAACGTCATGCAAGGACTTTAAGCACTGTCATTGAACATAGCCTTCAAGAATAATATTTTGTAATACGCTACGGATAATTTTTTTGCTTATATTAGGACATTTTATAGATACACCATAAATAGGAAATCATGCTTTGATATCTCCCGAAATTAGATATCTGACCGTAGCATTAATACTTTCGAAGTTGTCTGACACGATCGCCGTGATCTATTCAGGTTCAGCTCCTAATGCTAAGTGATTCGCAAATTCTAATATTGTAAAATTGTAAGAATTAAAAGTATCAATCAAACTTTGCAGCGAGTTTGTGAGCGGTACTTGCAGATCGCAATTGAAATCACCCATGATTATATATCCTGATATTTACTGCTAATGCGAAAGGAATCTCTAATTCGATAAAACTCCCGTTTTCGGGCCAGTAACAACTAATCAACACAAGTAAATGTCATTCCAATTGGAATTGCTGCAACTATATTCCATGCCAGGTAAAAGAGGATGTGAGTGAGCGACTACTTTACCTAATGTTCATGCGAACAAAACAATGCGACCCCT